TACTACCACACTTATAACATGTCTTGTTGAGACGATAAGAAGGCCTAATCCCATGATTCTTACCATAGTGTTGATAATTCTGATCTTGTCCCGTATTCAAATTTCAGGGTGGCATGGATGGTGCAATCTTGGGTCTTTTACTCTGTTGATATGGTATTGTGAGTGTGAATCTATAGTGTGGCGCTGAGGGTCTGGAACTACCTGCAACTGATGTGAAGCTCTAGAGTTCACTCTTAATCAACTGTACTTTAACTAACACTTCCTTATAGGTACAGAGTTCTAGTACATATAATTGACATATTATCTCCGTATGTAAATCCCACCGAAATTTTCTGGCCTTCTTTCCTTCATCAGTCATAACCTTTAGAACATAACGACCCAACTCTATGAACTTACGAGCATATTTAGTGACTAATAAATTCTCTTATCTAATTTGCATAAATTCCACCTCTCTCTGGTAGTGTACGTGCTCTGGAAAATACTTTAAGTTAAATGCTGCCACATAATCCTTCCAAGTGATAGGAGTAGACAAGATGATTTGCTTCAGCTCCCACCAACGTCGAGCTTCTTTGACAAGCATATAGGAGGCAAGAACAACCTTCTATGCTTGAGTGACTTCCAGTACCTCAAATGCTTTCTCAATCTCTTTCAACCAATTTTCTGCCTCTTCAATTGTGGATGCACCTGCAAAGGTAATAAGATTCACTCTCTTGTATATTTTGATGTAATCTGGATCCATCACAGGTCGTGTCAAGTCATGCTGGGGAGTAATCGAATTCTGCTGAGGTAAAGGTGGTGGAGGATCAGTTGCATCACCCCTAGGAGGCACTTGAAGATCCCTCATATCATCTCTTGCCTGTTGGCTATTAATGAATCTCTCCATCAGATTGTAGAGATGATCAATGCTTTCTCACAGAGAGTCTTCGGGGGCAGCTCTATATAGTAGGGGCCTTCCTCGCCTCATTTCCTATTTCCTGTAGTCACAAGATGACAATTCTTAAAGTTAGTCATCTGGATATTTCGAGGAACTTAAGCTTTGATACCAACTATAACAACATGAAATCTCATAGTAATATGGTTGTTACCTTTCATTCATATATATCGAAGTAAGTAATAACATTTATATATTTTTATAAGGATTGTCATTCTCAACTAATTCTAACTTGCTTTATCTATAACATACTGTAAGGTATTTAGAACTTTTTCCTAATATACTTGAAATATAAGAGATTAGATGATGCTTTAAAGTTTGAGAGATAAAATTCACAAAAACAAATGTCTCTATATCCTTTCTTCATTTTAAACAAGATCTTCCTGTTCCAACAATTCTTTGGTTTGGTCTTGCACTTCCTGTTTTGAAATTTATAAAAAATGAGTGAGCCATCACTTACTCAGTAAGAATAGTTTAAGACTTCAATAGAGATTGAAGATAATATACTGATTCAAACTATTTTCTTTACCTCAACTCACCATGTCCTTTACAACCATCTGATTTCTATACCCTACTAAA